AAAAATGAATTATATTTTTAGTACACCAGAGATCGGGCTATGAGAAGTTAGTATCCATTATAAATATAAATCAGTGCTTCCCAATGCCCCTTTTCTTATTGCAATTATTTTAACGCTCCCTTTTTAAACTTGAATATAGGTTCCTGGATAATACAAACTACCTACACACATAGTTTTAAAAAATCTGTATCATGTCCTAACTGTAATATATAAGAGAAATAAAAGTAAATTATAATAATTTGGCATGTACTTTAATATAGGTTTCACATAAAATCTATACAGTGAAGTGAAATGAAGCTGTTATAGTGAAGTGGCTAATACTTGTGCCAATGTCTAAGGTAATCATGAATAAAATAGCCACAAATATACCTTGATACTGCTGTATTGATTGGAAATTCAAATACCATGAAAAGTGTAGCAGTTGATTACACGATTTTTCAAAAAGCTTAAGAAGTCTTGAAAAGTACCAGGAAAAATGAAAAGTAAATCTCTTCTTGATTTCTATTGTACTTGCATACCTTGAAAATGCATGATTTTTACCCTTTCCCACTCTTTGCATTTAGCATTGCTAGTCCCCTGACAACCTGCCCACTAAATTCCAGTTATCACTCCCAGTCATTTTTTTGTAACTGTGTTTTTCTTTTAGCCTTTAGAATCTTTAAAGATAAACTGTTATTGGAATAGAATACACACAAAATACACAGACCCTAAGTATATTAACTTGATGAATTTTCATAGAGTTAATCCAGCAGTATAATCAACACCCGGGTCAGGAAACATGTTATCAGCACCCGTGAAGCTTCTTTTACACTTCCGTCACTGTGCCCTCACAAAAGCAACCTCCATTCTCACTTCTAACACCATAGATTGATTTTTGTTGATGTTGAACCATATATATAAATGGTCTCATTCAGTGTGTACTCTTCTGTTTCTGGTTTTTTCTCGAAATGGTACTGTCTCTCCTGAGTTCCTTTTGAATTCCTTTTCAACATAATATAAAAAGATTCTACAATTATATGAGAGGAATAACTATTATTATATCTGGCACAGGATAAGAAATCTAACTGACTTTGAGACTGAAGTGGGAAAAACAGAGTATCTATGACGTAAGTGTAATATTTATAAATAAGTGATCATAGATTCATGGTATATCACGTTGAGGAGTGTAGACTCTGAATCCAGCCTGCCAGGATTCCAATACCAGCTCTGGCACTTTACTAGTTTTGTTACCTTGAAAAAATTAAGTTTCTCTTAACTTCCTTATCTGTGAAAGAGGGATAACAATATTTGCTACCTCAAAGTATTGTTTTGTACTAGCTAAGGATACAGCTTAGATCCTTAAACTCCTGTAGTAAATAAAACCCGGTTTTAATATCAGATATCTGAGTTCGATCTCATTTCAACCACTTACTTAAACTTAGGATAAGTCTTTTAATTGTTGTGTGCTACTTTCTTCTTCTAATAGTGGAATATTAATACTACTAACCTCATAGCTGTTGGAAGAATAAAAATGAGTAGAAGAAACCATAATCCTGTGTTTGGAATAGATCTGTCAGAGATTATTTTAATTTTTCTAACAAGTAATGTTCCCATTAAACAGATAATTCACACGATATTTAGAGAGAAAATTTAATTATACAAGACTGGTAAATTCCCATTTTGTTTTGTTTGTTTGTTTTTACAATTTAAAATGTTTTCTCACAATGAAAGTATTTTACAAATTCTGTAGTTAAAATATTCCAAGTCTTGTGATTATATCTCACATTTACAAGGCTTATAGTCAAACAATGACCTTCCTAAGAAAAGTCCTTTTTTTTCTCATTTAACTTCAGGAAATATTTGGGAAGGTATGGAATCATAATAATCAAGGGCAGAGGTGCCTGGGTGGCTCATTCAATTAAACATCCGACTCTTGGTTTTGGCTCAGGTCATGATCTAAGGTGGTGAGATCAGTGCCCTGTATGGGGTCCAAGCTCTAGGTGGAGTCTGCTTGGACTTCTCTCCCTCCCCCCACCCCCACCCCAGCTCTCTGGCTCTCTCTCTCAATCAAAAAAATAAATAAATAAAATAATAATCAAGTACAGCACATTTAGAGCTGTGATCTCCTCTAAGGCCTTACTAAACTCTAATCTCACTTTTAGTTCATTGTTCTTTGGCTCTCAAGGATGTAAATTTATAGTCCTTATCTTAGGATCAACACAACATTTACATATTCCCAAGTACTTTTGTCTACCAGATCAAATCTCCCATTTAAGGTTTCTTTTCATTGATTTATAACTTAAAGGCAATCAAAGTTTAAAATCTGTATTTTGTGATTCCCCTTATACTAAATGTTAAAGATAATACTTAGCACAAAGTAAATCTTAATACATTTTGAGCCATTATTATTATCATGGCCCCAATGATATTAATGTCCCATAGAGGATTATAGGAAGAGTAAAGATAATTTTAAAAAATGAACAAATTAAACTGCAATAAAATTATCCATTCATTATCAATTGGCCAAACTACAATTTTTTTCCTGTATATGAAATGTTTGGAGTAAAAGATCCTAAGATTTATCCCAGAGAAAATCTTTCATGATTACATAATTAGAGTATCAGGTGATTTTAGTCATAATCATAAATATAGTCAAACTAGGGTGAAAAACTTAGGAAGACAAATTTTTTTTTGGCTTCCAAATCTGACGTTTTCTATCTTATTTAAAGCTGGTTACAGATATACTGGTAAGAAGGATTTTTATGACTACATAAGCAAATCTTTTTAGTTCTTATACAAATTTAATTTCCCTCTAATTCCTTTCTAATAATGAGAAATTTGTATGCTTTTGCAAACAGAACATTGGTATGTTTCATTTATATTTAATGGGTTCTAATATGATCATACTGTGCACTCTATAATCATTTCTGCCTCTACGTGATACTAATTAGACCCTTCCAAAACACATTAGGCCATTTATGCTGTTCTTTGCCTTAAAATGTTGCATTTGCCAATTACCTTCTAAAATCCAGAGTTTGCTTTTGTTTACGGTCATTAAATGAACTTCAGCACTTTAACATTTCAGTAAATAAGGTTCTTTTTCTGATATATTTGCCAAATTTTGCTGGGTGCCCTAGCAAAGTTTAAAAGAACAAAAAATATTAAGTATAAATGAATCTATTTATCAATTCTTTTCTTGTATCAAGGAAATAAAACTCAGAAGGCTCTAGAAATTATGCTGTGACTCTGAGGATACAAATATATGGGTAGGAGGGTTAGGGTATTGAGGTGGGAAAGAATTCTAAAAATTTAGGAATAAGTTCGTTTCAATATCTTTTGAACACAATATTTTCCCCTTGTCCTTTTGATATAATATATTATATTAATATGTTTTCTAAAGAGGCAGTGGAATGTGAGTACTGAAGTCACACTGCCTGGGGTTGAATCTTGTCTTCATTACTTTTTATAAATACAATAAACACTCTAAACAAAATACTTTTTCTCTTCAGGATTTTACGACATGTTTTTATACATGAGCAGAAATAAAACTATAACTAAAAAAGATGCAAATATTGTTTAAAAATACATATGTATTTTTAGAAATAAAGACCGTAAGTATGTACTCTAGTCTCTTCATTGCTTGGCTATCTGACACCAGGTAGACACAATCAGTAGTTTTCTTCTTACTGCTATTCTCAAAAATCTTAGTCATACCAACTAATCCCATAGTTTCAGCTATTAATGCTATACCTGTCAATCCCCAAATCTATCAATCAACATTTGCCTCCAGCTTTCTCCCTATGGCAAGACCTGCATTTTTCTAAGTGAGGAACACAATGAGTGTCATGAGAATATCAAAGCCTTTCTTTCCTAAGGCAGAGTCAGCACTCTCCCCTGGGGAGCTGTGACCACAGAAGAGCACTCTGATACAAAATTACAGAAATTGGTCTTTAACATTCCTACTGCAGTTGCTTCCCTATTCCTCTTAGATATCTCTCCTTAAAAAAATCTAACATAATACCTGAAAAATTAGCTAGAGCTCCTCATTGTTTTAGTACTTACCTGTTTCCTATTTTGTCATTCATTGCAATATTTCTTAGAAAAGGCATTACAGACATTGTGAGAGGGATGTTTATCTTGCAAACACAGATGATTAGATTTGTAATACATTTAGAGGACATTCAGCCTGTCTTCACATATAAGAACGTCTGTTAGATCCCAGAGGGTTGGCACCTACCTACCTATCTCACTCATTCCAGCATCCCCAGCATTTAGCTTTACTGCCTGCCACATAGAAAGGATTCAAAGTTTGTTATTAAATTGAATAAACGTGCTGATGATCGGCACCCTAGTTCCCTGGTTTAATCCAATTAGGCCACACAACAAACTATTGGAAGCCTGTTCATGGATTGCTCTTTCCATCTACACTCCAAGTTCTCTAGCACACGGATCTTGTCTATCTCACCAACTTGGTAACTCCGTTGTCTGTTGAAGTTAGACGTCAATATTGTGTTAAGTGTTAAGGGGAAAAAATTGGAAATACAAGATATAACAGCATTGCATTGCTGGAAAGACAGAAGAATACTAACACTAAAGCGGGGCGAAGATTCCAGTTTCTTGAACTCAACACCAGATTTTCCGCGAACCGATGCCTTAGCAACTTCGTGGAACGCCGGCCCCCCCCCAGCCCCGCCCACCTCCCGCCCCTCGCCACGCCTCACTCTGTGCCCGCCTACTCTATGCTCTTACTTCCGCCCCAGGCTGCCAGCTGGGACCTAGAGTCCTACCGTCTCTACCCATATTGGTATTGCCTGACTGAAAATACGGAAGAACGTAATCGCAATTAGAAAAATATTCTTCCGTACGATCCATGCTTTAGTCTCAGAGCTTGAAATCCAAAAGAAGTAGCTCTTTGTAACTTGGAGGCTCCGCCTAGCACGAGCAACAGGAGCCGGTTTTTCAGGCAGTGCCTTAGACAACAGCAACTTTGGAGGCCCCCAGTTTGCTGAGGGAGACGTGGACCTGAGTGGGGCGGTGCGTTCCCGGGCAGCGTAGAGGAAGTGGGAGACCAGCGGAATTGGCGGGGATCTCCACCGGGAGCGGCTCCACCATGTAAGTGTTTGCTGACCCGGATTCCAACCCCTGGTCCCGCTGCACGACTTTAACTCTCTCCCGCTCTCCTCTTCAGGTCGAAGGTTTCCTTTAAGATCACGCTGACGTCGGACCCGCGGCTGCCTTACAAAGTGTGAGTAGCCGGGCGGCGGTGTGCCTTGCGGGCTTGGGGGGAACCAGGCTGGCCTCCAGATCCTCTTCCACACCAGCAGGCTGCATGCCATCCCTTTCCCACTCCCTCGCTCTTCCTGGAGCCTCCCCGATCCCACCCGAGCCTGAGAGGCGACATCCCGCGCCCGCTGCACTGTCAGCTCACCCCGGTGCGAGGGAGCAAGGGCGTGTGAGGGGAACGTTGCTGCTGACAGGTGACCTGTCCACGGGACTCCCTGGGTTGGGTGTTGGAGCGGGAGGACGTGTAGACGACTCTAATGATTTGTCGGGGTCCTTAAAGAAGTCCTTATCTGCTCCTGATTGGAAGGGCCTTTTGCCGCCTTGACCAGCTGTTACAGGAAGTAGGGAAAGACAGCCCAGTTCAGATTCTGAAATTACTTGAACGTTTATCACTGTCCGGCTTCTGATTCCCGTGTGAGTGACTCAACAGTCGGGCGTCACAAAGTAATGAGCCTCAAGTCATACACTTCTTATGTTGGGATTTAATAAAGTGTGATTAGTAGGAATGGGAAATGCAGAAATAGGGCAGTTTATCCACGCGAGGCCTTTTTTTCTCCTTTAGCAGTTGAATGATGAATTGGCACGGCCTTAACTACATACTCATCCGGAATTTTCTGTGATTTTAGATCAACATTAGTGAGGTTATTGCAGCTGGAAGTCGCATAAAATGCGGCAAAGGACAAGACTTCAATAGGATTTTAAGCATAGTTAAAATAATTAATATCGAAACCTACTTAACCAAACTGTTAGCAGTTGTCAGCCTCAGTCACTTAACTGTCTGTGACCCATGCAACTCCTACCGTTAAGCTTTTTTGATCATTTGATCTCCAGATGAATCTTTTTTTCACCTTCTTTCAAATATGCATGGTTACAGCCTAAAATCTTAAGGTCTTTTTCAGTAACTGCTCCAGCTAAGGTGTCATTTTCAAGTATGCTCTTGTGGATGACCACATTTTCTTCTTACATCTAATTTACTCTAGTATTTCAGAGTAATGAATTAAAAGGAATTAATTCATTGATCAGACTGCTTTTTAAATTTGTCACTACCCTCTCCTCCTTGCTTTACCCTCCTAGAGTCCATGGTCCGGTCATTCTGTCTGGTGTCCACTCACCTCAACTCTGGTGTTCTCCTCTCCCCAGTATGTTTTGCTTGGTGAAACATCCAACTCTGAACTCAACCACTACGTACCTAGCTGAATGTCTTTGGGGAAAATTACACAATTAGGCTGATGGATTTTATGTAAAATTCACAACTATGCTCAATAGTACCTAATGCTCTGCTACAGTTCCCAGGTTTGCTTGTCTTTTTATTCTCTGAAAGAATTTTTAAAATCTATTAATACTTTTTACAGTGCTTTTCCCTTTTTCCGAAGCCATCAGAGGAAAATTCATCTTTCCGTCATCACATCTATAAAGTTACTACTATGTCTATAAACCCGTAGTTTCTGTCCACTATCCTATTACAAAGGAAAACATGACTTTATTCCTGTGAAAAACCAGCTGTACCACTTGGGCTCTGGGTCTCATCTATTTTAGTCTTCTCAAGATTAAAGTAGATGGAGTCCAGAGATTCCTCTCTTCTCATCATCTTTGATTTCTCCCTTTATACTGGGTTATTCTCATCAATGTATAAATATTCTCTAGAAAAAAAGTGAGAAGGTGGAAGAAAGGACAGAGTAGGACAGCAGTAGTATCTGTAAGGGTGCCTGAAATTTTGAACCAGTTCAAGTAATATTGGTGACTGAATGACTATAATAGGCATACCTAGTGTTTGGTGTGTGTATGTATGATCTGTATATGGGTGTGTGTTTATATAAAATACGTATAACGTGTGTGTGTGTGTGTGTGTGTGTGTGTGTGTAAGGTTAGTTATGCTATATATCCTATTCAAAGTAATTGGTAACTAGTACTTGGGTACTATTAAATGCAATTTTTAAAATTTATGGGAGAACATGCTTTGACTTTTTAATGTTCCTTTTCACTTGCCAAGCCAGTAAATGTATGCTTTGATAGAAAAATGTCCTTTGAGTTTCTAACGTTACTAATAGTTGAATTCTAAAAAGGATGTTTCAGTTCCTTATTTATTCTGGGGAATATTAAGAGTTTTTACTTTTTTTTTTGTTTTATTTTTTGATAGATTCACTCTTGGTATTGCCGTTAGGTTATAGAAATGTTCAATCAAATGTGCTCTTGTATATATGGCATGAATTAAATGTACCTTTGACTGTTTCAGTCTGATTCCTATCTTTCATTCTCACTTTCCACCTCTTCTCTCACCTTCCTTATTACCATGATTACTTAATCAAAGCTTCAGTCAATGTTCACATATTGACAAGCAAGCCCTTTAGTCCTCTCTGCTTTTATACATGTTCTTTTCTGTGTTTGGAGTGCAGTCTTGGGACCACCACTTCTGGACAAACAACCCTTTAATAGTCAGAATGTCACCTCAGTAAAGATTTCTGTAATTGTCGGGGGAGTTCACCTCTCCCTTCTTCAGTGTCCTATAGAAACTTCATTCTCAGTTCTTTATAATAGCTCTTGTCAAGTTTTGTCATATTTCTGTTTATATGTAATATTTATTAAAAAGAAAATTTACTAGTAATTTACTTTAAAAATTCATCTTAATATACAGAATAATTCCCATTTTTTCAAGACACCAGTGTAGTGTTTAAGCGCCAAATTTGCAAAATGATGCAACTGGCAAACAAAACAAATCCAAATCTAGATAAAATTTGTGGAGTTACAGTAACTCCCAGTCCCTCTCTGATTTTTCTGCCACTTAGAACATGCATTAAAATACGTTTTCATTTTACTTTTTTATTGGATTATCTTTGGACAGGCTCACCAATTTAAAATACAGATAGAAACATATTTTAATGAATATCAGTATGACATTTAGGTATGTATTACAGGGACATTTCCTGTCTGCAGTTCACAAGTGAATTGAAACCCTAAGGTTTTAAGAGTTCCTTTGAAGCAGTTTAGGAAAATGAATCTCAGTTTCGAAACTGTAAATGTACTACAGAAATACTTGCCAAGTACCATTCCCTACTTTGTATACTATCACATTCCCATTTTAGCAGATATTTTTTAAACAAATGGCTGTCCTTTAGAATTTTGTTTTTATTGTCTCCAAAAAAAAAACAAGGAAAGAAGAGGGAGAAAAATGATGTCCATTTTCACTCTTGAGTGGTATTTTGGAGAAGTAGAATGGTGGCAGCCAAGAATCTCCTACGGGAAGTCATTATAATGTGTTTTGGCAGCTAGTGATTTTTATATTCAGTGATCTGTAACTAAATGAAGAAATGGGACACATACTTAAGATGTTACATAATGGTAATTTATTAAAACATTAAAAAACAATACTCTGGTGACAAATAGAGAAGTTTCAAAGAGAAATGTTAGCTTGCCAGTCACTTCCCTGCTTTGAAAGATAATCTCTTTTACAGTCTTAAGTCATTTTTATTTATTTCACATTAGGAACTTTTTATATATTTTTTAACTTCTTTCTTTGTTTTTAAGTATTTTCTTAGGGTATAATGTCAATTCTATTTTTAGTTTTTAATTGGAAAATTCATACAGATTGACCATTTATCAGTAATCTTTCATATACTTAACCCTGCATAAGTTAGTAACAAAATCACACATGACTCTCCAAAATGTTATTTCAGATTGTATTAAGCCCTTTTTCTAATGACAATATAAAGGTGGAAAATCACTTCACATTTTATCATAGTGAACATACTCATTTACATCAGTTTAATCTACTATTTCAGACTTGGTTATTAAAAGTGCACTGGAAAGTTCATGAGAAGGTTAAGCTAGACTCTTAAAATGAAAGTGATGATCTTCCTGCATCAGGTGCAGAGGTGTTTGGACTGGAGGTGGCAAAATGGACTGACGACTAAGGAGAAATGTGACTTTTTGAAATCCATTTGTGGAAACAAGCAGCAGCCTATACGCTAGATCTTTTTGTATCAAAGTATTACAAATATATAAGGTTTCACCTACATGGGTTAATTTTCAGGTGGAGCTGTGGGCATCATCTCAATTATGAAACTAATTGTTTGGTTTTTTTTTTCCATTTTAAAGTTAATGAGCATAGTGTGCAGTCAAAATAGACAACCTTCAGCCTCAAAAGACAGTTTTGTCCAGGTCTGCCACATTAGCCAAAATAAGGAACGAGCGGCTTTAAGAATAATCAGCTTTTTAAAAAATTCTTAATTCTTCTTGCAGACTTAGTGTTCCTGAAAGTACACCTTTCACAGCGGTCTTAAAGTTTGCAGCAGAAGAAGTAAGTATAGAAATTGGAACAATGTGTATGGAATGCAGTTTATTGGTATCTTTTTCAAAAGTCTTTTTAAATTTGCGGGGCACCTGAATGGCATAGTTGGTTAAGCGTCTGACTCTTGGCTTCAGCTCAGGTTTGATTTTAGGGTCATGAGATCGAGCCCTGATCTGCTTCTCCCTCCCTTTCCTCCTTTCTCTCTCTCTCTCAAATAAATAAATCTTTAAAAAAAAAGAAAAAGTCTTAAATTTTGCATGTACTCTGACCCACCACTTCCATGCGGATTCATTACTAAGTTTATGCTATCAAAAAGTTAAGCCCTACTTACAGAAGTAAGTGAATGGAAGTTAAGACTTAATAGAAGTAGGGAAAGTGAGTTAAACAAATCTCTGTTTAATGCATCCGTTGAAAATTATAAGGAAAAAATTATGAGGATATGGGAATTTTTTTAAACAGCAACATTATTTTACAGTGTAGTCCATAAACCTGTTTTTACTCATTTTGATTCTCGAATTAGAATTTTTTAATGTCTTTATCATATTTTTCAAGTTTTATGTATGAGCATGTCAACTGGGTGCTTTTAAAAGTGTGTAGTCTTTTAAAACATTTTTGGGTTTTTGGTTCTTAAGAAATAAGATTTTTTTCATCCGGAGTTATCAGATGCATCCATAAGCTCTTTGGACATAACACTACAAGAGTAGCTTGGTCTTGTGGAAATGGCATAAAAATGTGACTTGGGAGACGTTTAATTGTGTCATTAATTATTTGTGTGATATGGGCAAACCTCCCAATCAATCTCTCTTTTCTTCAAATTTCATATCCTGTAAAATGGGAGTAATTAATATCTATTCTTCCTGTCTGATTAAATGATTTTGAATAAAAATATAATTGCATTTACTGATATTTTGTGAAGTTAAAAGTGCTGTACAAATCTAGAGTAACTCAAATCCAAATGTTTTGATTCAGAATCTTCAAAAAAGTTTATAGTCACAGAAAAATAATTTTAGTAACTAAATAAACTGGCTTAACCCATAATCCTACCCTGAATTTATTAGTGGAAAATCAGCCAAACCATCAGTAGTTACAGATACTGTCTGGGACCACTGACATCATTTATCACTCCTTCAGAATTGAACTGAAAAGTGGTAGTACTTGTTTTATAGTCAATTTTTAATCTTTTTCACCCATATAGAATAACTAAAAAGAGGTAGGAAACAAATCTGAGTACAGCATCAGCATTACTTTCTGCTGCACAGATCACCTGCAAGAACTATTCCTGGTTCTGGGGCATAGCAGATCCCACAAATTTAAGAAGTATGTCAATTTGAGCTATAATTAATATTTTATTATTATATTTTGTAGTTATATGTGTTCTTTGTAAGGCAAAGGCATTGTTGTGATCTTGGTCTTCTGGTGAAAGTATAAAAAAATCATAACAGACGTGCAATAGAAAATACACTTACAAATTTCACATGGCTGCATATATTTATTGAGGTTTTAATGTAGCTTATAACCGTTGATGAATCGTGGGTGTTGCACCTTTAGAAAGGTTATGACTTTCAGGCAGCAATGAGAAGGACTTTCACAAGATGAGACATTATAGGATCTACAGTGAAGACGAGTTGACTTGACAAACTGAGTCTGTGGATTTAAATCCCTAGTAAAATCTCTCAATAAAAAAATAGGAAAATTCCCCAATAGGAGTAAGAATTAATTTAAGTAGTGAGTTGTGAAAACCTGAGAATAGCCTTTTAACATCCTAAATTACAAGATTTAGGGGTCTGAGAAAGAAAAGAAATGAAAATTTAGGAGCATGAAATACTTTGCATCCAGAAGGAAACTTGTCAGTAGTGTAGGATGAACATAATAGTTGCTGAATTTTACATCACTAGTGATGCTTCCCAGATTTCTGCTAAACAGTTGTTACTACATTCTGGAAAAGGGAGTAATTATGTCAGCAGTTGCTTATGGTTTTTAATGTTCATAAATATGCTGCCACTATATGGAGGTGACTAAAAATGCATAGTTTATCCTAAAATGGACATAATCTAAGAATAAGACAATAGGGTAACTAGAAACTTTGTAATCTCAAATTTTAGAAATCTGAGATGTTTTATTAAGTTTTATTAAGTATTACAATCTCTATAAATAACTTGAAGTATTTTAATATTTATTAAAGCACATTTTGAAGTTATTTTAAGTTAGGTTTATTTTAATTTTTTAAATCTTTAAAAAGACATTTACAAATAAAAATGGACCATATAGACTGTGAAGTTATGTGTTTATCAGGTGCATAATCCAGTAACAGGTATTGTTCTCATGCATAAATTTTTATTTTAAAACTTGAGTCTTTAATTTATAACTTAAAGTAAACTTTTAGTTGTTTTTCTTAACTATGTATATGTGACCATTATACATTTCCCAGAGCAGCATTTCCCAGAATACTTTTCCAAGGCCACTAGAACCACCAAAACAACAACAACAAAAATAATGAAAAACTAGAATTAGTGGCCAAAGAGTATGGGAAATACTTTATTCACCATTTCCTTCTTAACATTAAATCAACTATATTAGCTGCATATTAGTTGATCTTGAAAAGAATACTACTTTAGTGTTTTCCAGATTTATTTGATCACAAAACTCAACTGTAATATCTATAAAACTAGTCTATAAGCATAGAAGTACTTAATAAATATTTGTTAGATAAATGAATGAACTTATGTGTACATGAACACATTTTGACAACTGCTGGTCTCAAAAGAATTAGGACTTCTCCCTTTAGCTACCAATAAGTTCAATACCACATTTTATTGATTCAGAAAACGAATCTTTTTACACCTCTGGAAGTAGATCAGTGGAGTCTTACTCTCACTATTAGCCAAGTGGCAGTCACATAATTGTCTAGTTGACATCATCTGCACCCACTTGAACTTAGTTGTTATTTCCTGGTGGCATAATTAGACTGTTGCAGTCCTGTGAAATCTAAGTCAGCAATACATTCAGAGGGGAATTTGAGCTTTGGTTGGTCTTCCCTTAAATACAAGATAGCATTTGTTTGACCTTACTGCTTCTACAGAGAAATTTTAGGAATGTTCTAAGCAAGTGTTTTGCTTTTATTTTTGATTATGCAAGAGAGTTACATATGATAAAAATAACACGTCTAAGTCTGAAAGAGTAAACATCGATCGTAGATTTATTGACAGTGTTTTTCTGTAATGCATAAAATAAGATGCATTTTCCAATCCCTGGTGTCCTACATGCAGTGAAATGCAGTATTTAGAAAAAAATATTGTTCATTAAATATAAGCCAATTAATAGTTTTTCTTTGATGACATTTTTTATCCTAAAAGATAAATCACATTTTAGGATTATAGAATTGATTATATGTACCCCATCCTTGCTAACCATCTTTTATAGTTTATGTATATAAATATTTATATATATTTTTATATAAACTTTTACAAAAATAAAAAATAATTTTTTTCCTTTTTCTCCTTTTTAGTTTAAAGTTCCTGCAGCAACAAGTGCAATTATTACCAATGGTAAGAAATCATTTTTTTTTTAAAGATTTTATTTATTTATTTATTTGAGAGAGCGAGAATGAGAGAGAGCACATGAGAGGGGGAAGGGTCAGAGGGAGAAGCAGACTCCCTGCTGAGCAGGGAGCCCGATGTGGGACTTGATCCCGGGACTCCAGGATCATGACCTGAGCGGAAGGCAGTCACTTAACCGACTGAGCCACCCAGGCACCCGGTAAGAAATCATTTTAAAACTATTACCTCAGAGCTATAGAAATTGTTTTAAAAAGTCAAATTAATTAAAATCGACTTAAAAAGGCCAAAGTTTATATTAACATAAATGATATACATAGGTATTGTCCATAATGAGCTCTCTTCAGTTTCTTTATGCTTCTGATATATTATAGCACTTTACAATATCTTGTGTCCTTACCACTTCATGCCAGATTATTACTAAAAATAACTTTTCCCTTTATTTAACAAGGTGTGTTGTTGTTTTTTAATAAGTTGTAGATGCTTTAGAATATAGGAAGTTACATGGGAATGTACCTTTGCTATAGCTTTTTATTGCTTTCCTGTGGTAAACTATTTCTTACAAGCTTGAAATAATGAGGATTTTATCCAATTAGATCTATAGTTTAAATTCTGAATATCTTAGAATACTGTAATTATTGTGATGGAACTAACCCTGTGAGAAGATACTGAAGTAAGATGAAGAGTAAAGATTGTGGGAAGGCCTTCACAATCTTGCAAAAATACAAGGTAGTATTTGTTGGTGCTGGCCAGTGGTTCATGTGCAGTTAGGATAGTCTAAGAGAACATGGGTTTAATGCATGGTAGCATGCTTTAGTTTAGATACGACAGAATTTCTCATTCTGAAACATATATTCATATGCTGTCATATTGCAGTGTTTTGCTACCTGACCTACTTTCCAGAAAGGTTTAGGTTTACAAATTAGCTGTTAGGAAAGTGCTTTGTAAAGTTTCATCAAGTGTCACTGCAGCTTGAATTAAATGACTTTGGGGGCTCTCTTGGGGAGATTTTATGCCTTGGGAGCAATATGTAAATGATGAAGGACATAAAAGTGCTTTTGACTTTATTTTTCACTGGGTGTGGTGTGGTAAAATACATTGTCTTCCGTGGAACTTATCAGGATCATGGCCTTGACAGGTGTTCTTGTCTAACCCAGCATATGTGTAAATGCATAATAATAATGGATATTTATTTCAACATATTTCAACAGGTAACTTACCTGAAAGATTTGTCATTCGTGTTTTTGGATTTAAATTGTTTGGCTTGTGCCTGTATACACAGTAATGACAAATCTCTTGTTACATTAAACCATTTTAGCTTTAGAAATAAAACCACTTAGATAATTTTATGACTTCTTTTCTAGATGGAATAGGAATAAATCCTGCCCAGACTGCTGGTGAGTATTTGTCTGAAACTCATGGACATGTGGGTGGGGCTGTGCGTGTCAATTGATACTGAACATGTGATTTATTCTAATTAGACTAGATAGGGTTTTTACCAGGATAATAGCTTTTTTTAAGTGTTATGTAGGAGTCTTTACCTGTGTCTTGGAGCAATAATTTGTTTTGTTACGGGTATCAGTTATATATGCTTTTGGCTACAAGAAAGAGAAAACCTCACTAATAAGCATTAAAAGGTGTTTAATACATAGAACCGAAAGTGATGGTAAGATCGTACTCTTTCGGGAATAATGATTTGGACCTACCTTTATATGATAGTGGTGAGGTAGTCCATGGGAAGTGCTTACAGGTCTGCATTATCCATAGTAAGCATTCAGGAAGTGCTAGCTGTTACTGTTATTTTAAGACAGTACAGTCTTTTAGGGGACTTAGTCCACACTCAGAGCTTCAAACTTGGTATTATACAGTGCTATATATTGATGTCCTAACAAGCAGGCAAAGTAAAAGTGATCTTAAACTTTTTAGTAGGTAGTTTTATATTTTTTAGATGTAGCTTTTTTTGGTTTATAATCTAATTACAGTGTTTTAAAATTAAGCATGTTTTAATATAATGTGATCTCTATTTGAGCAGTAGTTATGTTTAAATCATTCTAGAGTACTTCTGTATTATAAAAAAATTATATTGTCCTCATAAGGCCTTGGAATTGAAATTTAACCGTATAGAAAATGAAGAGGGATTTAAAATTGTAATTTTTTTTTTTTAAGATTTTATTTATTTGAGAGAGAGAATGAGAGAGAGCATATGAGAGGGGGGAGGGTCAGAGGGAGAAGCAAACTCCCTGCTGAGCAGGGAGCCTGATGCGGAACTCAGTCCCGGGACTCCAGGATCATGACCTGAGCTGAAGGCAGTCACTTAACCAACTGAGCTACCCAGGCACCCTAAAATTGTAATTTTTTTTTTTTTACTTAAATCAGTAGTTTTAAGTATATAATGTTATTAAATTAAAAAGATTATTGAAAACCATGAGGCATTTTATTGTGGAGATGTCTTTAAACTTTGGTTTAAAGGTTTTATTTCTTCTTGCTGTAGAAATGTTCAGTAGTTCATACTAATTTGAGTTAGCGCTTATTGTAACATGCTGCCTGTTGTATTACCCTTAAAAGTTGAAATGTGCATATCATGGGGCGTGAAGAAAATTTCAGCAAGCAGTTGAGCAAAAATAGGTCAGATCAGGTTTCTAAACCTCTGTCATTTGTGGTAATTTAGACTTACTATTCTTGGGGCGCCTGGGTGGCTCATTCGTTAAGCAGCTGCCTTCGGCTCAGGTCATGATCCCAGAGTCCTGGGATCAAGCCCCATGTTGGGCTCTCTGCTCAGTGGAGAGTCTTCTTCTCCCTCTGTCACTCCCCCTGCTTGTGTTCCCTCTCTCGCTGTTTCTCTCTTTCTCTGTCAAAATAAATAAAATGTTAAAAAAAAAAAAATTTACTATTCTTTCTGTCCTCAGATATTTTATTGTGTAATAAATTAGCAAGTATTGATGGTTAATTACATTGGTGTTTGCTGAGTGTATGCATTAGCACTTTTGTGGCTAGTGTTCTTATTTAAAATTTTCAGACATTTGGTTGGGTTGTGAAGATGTGAGAGGAATGGGAACAAGCCTTAAAAAGCTTGGAGTTAGATTCTGAAAATATTTGAGCTTCTGTACCTACTTACTTTACACTTCTTTGTATCTTGTATTATGATCGTTGTTGGAATGTTAAGGTAACTTGTCATTTTTTAAATACCTAACTTTATGTTTTGTTTGTTTGTGTAGGAAATGTTTTCCTAAAGCATGGCTCAGAACTGCGAATTATTCCCAGAGATCGTGTTGGAAGTTGTTAATATCTGCTACCTGGAACATAAGATGACCTTTCCAAATAAATATTGGTATTGTTGTAAAACTGAAATCAGGCATTTAAAACACTATGAAAACACCAGTAGTTGATGAAATAATGAAGGGTAACTCTGTCCCTTCTTGTTATTCACACTCTTCCTGTGAAGAGGGACTGCTTATGCATAGAGGTTATCATCTCCACAGAAGATCATAGTCTGTCATTGCTACCTCACAACACACACAGGTAGTTCATTCGGGCTAAGTGGATTATCCAGCTGTGTTTTGTAAGTGGTGGATGCTTCTGATAACTCTTTCTGAGAACATTTGGAAAATTGAAGTTTACTGAATCTTCCTATTTGTCTGAGTTAAACATTTAAAAGGACTATGGGTCATACATGGCAGTTTGCTTGATAGCATCTGACTTACACACTTAAAAATAGTTGAATTCTCAATTGTATATTGTTCATGATAAAGAATATAGACATAATCAATGAATACGTAACTATCTTTAACTTTTTATCATTTAGGTTTTCTTAAGTTTCAAACTATATCAGAGACTCCAAAATTGAATTTTTTGATCTAGCCCTTTTGTGTAAAATTGATACCTCACACTAAAGAGTTTTAACTATGATCTTGCAGAATCCACTACTTGGTAAGAATTGAGAATAAAGTTAGAAGCGTTCTTTGCTAAGTTGTGTATCCTTTGTCAGTCTCCGAATACGACCTTTAAAACAGGAATCCTCAAGAAACTCTTGTCTTATTGTGAGGGTCATATTTCTAAATAGCATTCAGGAAGAGAGTATTGGAAAGATCTGGAATTCTTAACAGAGCTCTAGGAAATGCTAATTGGAAATGCTGATTATTATACTTACTAAAGACCCCACATTTAAGGAGGTTAACTTAAGTTTAGTCACTCAAGTGAATAAGAAGTCAGGAAAGGGATCCTGGGGAAACCCCAATGACCAGTTTTCTAGTGAGGAGGAGAGAAACAAAAGACACAGTGAAGGGGAACAGAAAGCTATAGCAAAGCATCACAGAAAAAGCCAACTGGATTGGCAAAAGTGCAGAGTGTGTGTTGTGGAGAACGAAGGGGAAAAAATATCTGACATTGTCAGAAGGAGCAGAAGGCAATTAGAGAAAGCAAAGTGTAGGCTTTGTCAACACACAGACTTCAGAATTCTCCTTACGATAATCTAAAGAATGATATGCATAAGGGAAGACTTTATTTGCCCTTAGAGAGGAAATCAGTATCTATGCGAATTTTGAAAGATGAAAGGAAGGTTCATAGTGATGCGGAACCAGTGCTTGGCCTGCTGCTATATACTGGATGGTGAGCTCCCTGGAGGCAGGCTTTGTGTCTGTCTTGCTCTTCTTAGACCTGGAAATGGAGTGGGCTTTCAGTAAGTACTTGCTGAATTATTCATGAATAAATTATCTCTAAGACCAATTTTTATCTAAGCATGTTTCAGTTATCTTCCCTGTCATAGGCGTTAGGTTCATTGGGAAAAAAATGTATAAGGAGATGCAACCGGGTCAGCATCTCAAGGGTGACATTGGTAGTTTAAGAAATTAACCAGATGTTGTCATATATTTGACAAATGAACAGTGAGATTCTGAATTGTAAAGGTTGAAAAGTATGCTTCTAATATTTGGGGAGTTTTTATTTTTCTAAACAAAACTGTTGCTCAAAGACCCCAGGTTCTTAATAATCATTAAGCCTCAGTTAACCAGAAATTTATGAATACCCATTCTCTGAGTTTTTTAATTTAGCTCTCCCTCCATCCTGTTTGTACAACAAAATCTGCCTGCTGTGTTACATAAGTTATGATGTCCTGTGCCATAAAGTAATTTGTTTAATATTTTTGTTCCTTGGTTTTGAAAGTTTTGTTATAGTAAGTCCTTAAATTAAAAACATTTCCTAAAGAACTGGATATTTGTTATTAAATAAATGTGATCTCTAAGTTCTTTGTGCAGAATGTTTTGAAGTATTGTATTTTGTTTAAATACATTATTGGTACATAATTAATATTTTAGGGAAATACATTTTGTCATACTGTAAACTGTTTTGTGTACTCCTCATTATTAAAGCTCCTAATCAGCACAGCTATTGAGCCAGTGTATAACAAATGTTGCCAAAAAAAGGTGGGGGTGGGACAAAGATGATTAATCACCATAGGTCATAGAAATGAATATATACTTCCAAATGCCAGTCCTTTTTCAGGAACAAAAAAGAGAGCGATTTTAGTAATTGTGTAGGCTGATAGGTTCCAAACCTAAGTGATTATCAGAGCCACCCAGAGAACTAAAAATACGGATATCTAGAAATCACCCCTAAAGTTTTGAATCCTTAAATTTAGTATGTTGTAGAAGAATCTCTGTTTACAAAAAGCGGTCCTGGTGATACTTGTTGTGCAGCTGGGTTTGAAAATGATAAGGCCAACCTTTTCACTTTGTAGATGACCAAAATTAAGTCCAAGGAGTAGAAGTGACTAGGACATGTTCTAGAATCTTGGAAAGTGTACATCCACTTCTTGGTTCTCTAGTAGCTAAGTGCAGAGACACTAGCTAACAGTCTCTCTCACTGGTAGTAAAACCTCATTTTAAAGTGTTTATACAATAGTTTTTGTGGATATTTTATTTCTTAAAATTATTCGAAAGGAAAGTTAATGGGAAGAAAATTCAGTCCCCTTTAAGGCCCCCTTTCCCCAAATTAAGATATTAAAAATATTTACCATGTCTTTAACCCAAGGCATTGAAATAGTTTTGAACTTGGAAGCATTAATACACTTTAATGGAGCAGTTCTGAATTGACTGTTCAGTGTTCCCAAGGCTGTTTATAAAGCAGCAGGTTACATAGGTAAATTCCATATATATATATATATATATATATACACACACATACATGTATATGTGTATATATGTATGAATATATATTAACTTATGTAGTTTGTGGTTCTATATGTACATACACATGTATATATGATTTACATAGGTAATTCACCCAAAAGAAATGTATTGAACATCAATGTGTCAAATACTTCGATAGACTTCCTCATTCACAATTCCAAATTATCCCCATTTTACAGAAGAAAGGCTTAGGTAGGTTGAGATTTGGGTTTGACCCCTTTTATGACTTTGGAACTCCTCACATCATACAAGGAGAATTTTTAGTATCTTTTTTACCAAATCTGTATCTGTATTGAATTACAAATTTAAAAATAGAAAATGTCTAGGACTTCAGTGTCTAATAATCATGAATGGCATTACTTTTCAATACATGGTGTAAATTTGATGGTGTAAATATGGTAAAATTATAGGACATTCAGTAAAAGTCAATCAAATAAAGATAATTATGATTCTGGTGCTACTGCATAGGTTGGCCCAGTGAGAGCAGGACTATGGCACCGTATTCATCAGCTTCATCAAACAATTCATGTTCCTAGCATTTTATGTATCTTGCAGATGCAGCTACAAGATTGGTACCCTGCTCTTCTGACCAGATTGTTGCCCATAAGCCCCTCCAATACAGAAATTCTGGAACTACCCTCTGATAATACTAGAGATAAATCATTATTTAAATCAAGCTATGTAGTTAAACCATTCTATTGAAATAAACATTCTCGAAAGGTTTAGCCTATCTAATCTATTAGTTACAGCCTCCAAATTGCCTAAGCCAGGTATTTGGGACTCATTAGGGTTTTTTTTTCCTTTCTTTTGCCATAGCAAACCCATCACGAGATTCTGTTGATTCCATTTACAAAATCTGTTCAAGATCTGTAATTAAAGCCCTCATCCTCTCATAAATGCTATTAGAAAAGCTTGTAGTCTCTCTGTTCCCTCTTTCACACAGTTTTTGTAATGAGCTTTTTGGCATGGAAATACAATTGTGTAGTTCCACTAGTCAAAATCCTGCTGAATAAAAATCTATATGATGTGAGAACCTTCATGAGCTGCTCTTTGTTCAGAGTCATCTGTTATCACGACTGATTTGCACTGCAGCTACACTGAACTACAAATATTTAGTATCTCCATTGTGCCATGGTCTCACACCTCCATGCCTCTACTTTCTCCAGTGGTCTTCCTGAAAAATCTAGGATTGATTCTTCAAGTTTGAAAGCTGGGGAGCCTTTCCTCACTCCTCCTGAGCAGAGCTAGGTTGTTTAACTCTCAAAGCAACCATTGCATTTTGGACATTACCCCATTGTAGCAATTGTTAAATAAAGAGTTATATTTGTCTCTGATTTAAAGTATAAATTTTATAAAAGTGTAAGTGTGACTGAAACAGGATTTCCAAATTACCTTGCCCATAATAATAAGTACTTTATGATCAAAAGACTACATAAAAGAATAAAAACTTCAAAAATTGCAACAATTTGTGGCTCATGCCTAATAAATTATTTTGCTAGAATATTTGGTTAATGAATATATTCCTCACTGTTTCTTGTAGTAGAGAATTTACTCTTGACTCAGAAATGAATTAATCGGTCTTTTAAAAGTGAAAAGCGTTCTCCCATTTTTAACAAATATATATTAATTAGCTGTATCAAGGGAATTGCTAAATGCTGGAGATGAAATATAATCAAGACTCATTTCCTTTTCTTTGGGTCCCCAAAATTTACACATTTCAGAAACAGTAAAATCTACTGAAGATGTAATTACATGGAAATAAAGATGTTTATCAAGCCCTTTTTTAATGTGCTGGGCACAGTGCTAGGCACTTCACCGTCATAATCTCATCTAATCCTTAATCTCTGTACAAAATGCTGGTGTTAATTTTTTTTTCTTTACTGTTAAAGCCAAGATTTAGGTTAATGTGTCCAAAGTTAGAAGGAAATAGGCTCCTAGGGCTATATGATTATGAAGTCTACCCTGCAAATCATTACATGTTTGCTATCATTTTCCTAGAATTATATTGAAATATTTCTCTAAGATGAAAAAGAGTACTTCACAGGTTGCTTTTGAACATTTCTGTGATCTCACTTGGCTTGAAAAAGTTAACATTCAATAATCTGTATAGTCGCACTTAGACTCTTTTTCAGTATATATATATATATATACACACACACACACAACAAAGAATTGTGAACATTCGAGAAGTAGGTTTATGGCTCTATAATCTGCTTTGCTATACAGAGGGTGTTGTGGTAATTTTGTCTTTGGATGCAAAACAGCGGCCAAGGTTGGCAGACAAACGCAGAGAGCCAGTTTTTGGCATAAATCTCTTGATTTTCTGGCAAAACTTGTTAGCAATGTAAAAACTGTTATTGAGAGCATATTGTGATGATACATCATGTCAATATTTGTTTGGCTGTGTAACACTGGATTTAATAAATTAATTCTTAAATGTACAATTTACAACTGATGAGCTGTTTTAGAAATAAACTGTATGAGGTACGTGTTGTCAGTGCCACATTTTGATGTCTCAAAGACTTGCCTCTCTGATTTTCTAGATAAATGTATGGATGGAGTAGGGCTCATTAAATTAGCCTTCGGTGTGCAAATTAAGCAGGAATGAATAAATGAGTGAGTCACAGAGGTCTTAATCCTTTGTGACATGTCATAAATCCATTATTATCTGCTAGACTGTTTCACTCAGCATTGTCAGTTTGGGCATAGAGTTAGAAAATGCCTAAAAAGGGCGCCTGGGTGGCTCAGTCATTAAGCGTCTGTCTTCGGCTCAGGTCATGATCCCAGAGTCCTGGGATCGAGTCCCACATTGGGCTCCCTGCTCGGCGGGAAGCCTGCTTCTCCCTCACCCACTCCCCCTGCTTGTGTTCCTGCTCTCGCTCTCTCTCTCTCTGTCAAATAAATAAATAAAATCTTTAAAAAAAAATTCCTAAAAAAAATTGTTGAGTTACTAAATCATTTTTTGTATGCTTATTTTCTTGGTATATGAGAGAGGTATACCTGGTACTTTGAGCCTAAAACCTAAATTATAAAGGAAGAATCACTATTTTTCCTAAAAAGGAGTACATATGAACAACTAATATTTCTTGAGTTTCTAGTATGTATTAGGCACTAGGTTTTATGTTTTACAATCTTATTTATTTATTTTTTTAAAAGATTTTATTTATTTATTTGAGAGAGAGAATGAGATAGAGAGAGAGAGAGCATGAGAGGGGGGAGGGTCAGAGGGAGAAGCAGACTCCATGCTGAGCAGGGAGCCCAATGCGGGACTCGATCCTGAGACTCCAGGATCATGACCTGAGCCGAAGGCAGTCGCTTAACCAACTGAGCCACCCAGGCGCCCCTTACAATCTTATTTAATCCTCTTTGTAGTCTGTGAGGTCAATAATATCTTTTCACCATACTTTGGATTATTAAGCTGGATCTTTCAACGAGATTTGGTACTTTCCCCAAGTTCTACAACTACTAAGCAGCTACGATGTCAAGCCTCACGTGTGCCGCTGCGGGACATAAACTCCTAGCCACTGCACCACACGGCCTCTGTGGGGGGCGGGGGGGGGGGAGGGGGCGGTCCTGGGGCATTAGCCTCGTTCAAAGCCCGGCTGGTGCCTCCCTCTGGCCGCCTTCTGCCTCTGTCTCTAGCTGCTTCTTCCTCATTGTCCTGGCCTCTCCAACCCCTCCATGCGTCTTGAAGCCTGTGAGGAAGGAGAGTGACATGAATATGGTTGCATCTGTATTTCTTCATGTTGCTTCATAGATACCTACTTGAAATTCTCTCAGTCCTTTATTCAGGTATTCATTTATCAAGAATGAGAACATGAATTAGACCAGCTCACTGCCCCTCGGAGTTAAAGGCCATGCTCCCGAGGCTTGGAGAGCAGGCTGTGTGGGCAACAGTTCCTAGAACTTCAGCCATCTTTCGTAGGTCCCATTGGATGTTCTTATCCCTTGTTTAAGGCCTGACAAATCCCTATTACAGCTTTGGACTCACAGAACTTTAGCCTCCACCACATTATTTAAATGGCGTCTAGTACAGAGTTGAGGATCCCTGAGGCCAAGGTCAATGAAC